GGACAAGAAGTTGTGCAGCATGCTCTGTTAGGAAGGGCCTGATCTCTCTGATGTTGTGTAATGCAAACCTGCATGATCATGCTGTCCTTGCATTGTGGTCACTTCTGGTCATCAAACATTACTCCAAGATGGTAGAAATGAAAAATAGAACTGTATGTCATCAGCATAGGTAGGAGAAACCATGGAGGGGTCCAAGAACTGATAATAAGTAGTATTTGCCGTATTTTGTATTGTAGAGTAACCCTCTTACATGTGTAAATATAAAGAACATTTTGATTTTCAATTTCATGACCCCTTTAAGTTGTTCAGATGCTTACCAGAGTAACTGCCTAAATGTCTTGGGTGTGATGTCTTTGTTTTGTGATTCTGTAGGTTCTCTGGATAATGGCCAGTCAGTCCACATGCGTGTACTCCAGACCATCTACAGGAAATTGACCTGCACTCGAGCTGACTGCCCTCGCTATGGACCACACTGGGAGAACGTGGGCTTTCAAGGTACCTCAAATAAGCACCTATGCGTAAAATGTCTAATCAAAACAAAAAAATCAGTAATTAATTGATTATTTTCATGATGTCATGAAATACAAGTCACCCGTTTGTAATATTTGTTATACTTCCAGGTGCAGACCCTGCTACAGATCTGAGGGGAACTGGTTTTCTGGGCCTGATGCACACGCTCTACTTCGTCATGGACCCAGAGATTCTACCACTTGCTAGAGAAATCTACAAACTCTCTCAGCATCCAGTCCAGGTGATGCAAAACACAGTCAAATATATACTTGCTACAACCTTATCAAAGACAATAAAAACACTCGTTTTCATTTTTAACACATGCAGAATTTTCCCTTCTGTGTGATGTCAATCAACATGACGCGAATTGCCCTGCATGCTCTTAGGGAGGAAGTGCTGTCCAAGTAAGTCATTTCACACTGCAGGAAGCTGAAGTTTTTTAACATTAACTGGTGTTTATTTTGTACAGGATTAATTACATACTGTCAAGCTTTGAAATTATTTGGCTGTGTTTGCCCTCAGTCTGAGATATCCGCAGTAACCTTTCATAATCTCTGCAGTTGTTTCCATGGCAATAAAACATTTTGTTGCTTTGTGATGTCACATAGGGAGTGTAACCGAAGGCAACAGGTCGTGGCAGTGCTGAATGATTTTTATGTTGCAATGTTCCTGCACCTCTATCAGCTGTGGAAGAGCCAGCAGAAAACCATCTCTGACTCTGGCTATGTACTCAAAGGTGACATTTCCGTTACAAATTAACAGTGTTGTATTTGTGCATGGTATTGTTTAGTGACTTTCAGCATTGATTTGAATTGACACTGTCATTTGGTCAAAATCATTTGAAGGTGCCATAATTTACTTTTATTTTTACCCTTAAAGTCCATTTAATGCTAGTAAAGGTTTGCAGCAAAAAGCACTTTCCACTCACAATGACCCTTAAAATGAAACAAGCTGTTTTTGCAACTGTACCTTTAAGAGTTTTAGATGTAAATGCCCTCTATTCTGATTGGGTAGCTTCCACACTGTCATTTATTAGTGTAATAGTTGCTATATACTGAATAGATGTTGAGATTAGGAATGTGAATCTTTGGTTAGACAGCTAATCGATTCAATTCATGAATCAGAGGTTTTTGATTCAGGAATATGTTTTGGAATTTCAGAGCATTTAGATTTTTGTTGGAACAATTTTTGCTGGAAATAAGGTTGTTATGGTAAGGTTGTAACTTTAGATGCCAGTGAAATTTCACAATTCTTGCTAACAATTTTGATACCACAGCAAAAGCTAATACTAACTTAATGTAAGTAAACACAAACAGTAATAAAATAACAAGAAAACAAATTAAAACAAATAGAATGAAGCAAAA